CCCCAAAACCCCAAAACCCCAAAACCCCAAAACCCCAGCTTGATCAAACCCCGGAATTTATTAAAAGTCACCAAGTCCAAAATATGGAGGAAGTAGAATTTTAACAAAACCAGAAAAAATACGATATTTAGCAAAAATTTAAACTCCACCAATTATGTTAACTCCTCCAAGCTGGTTTTCTTCAAAGAGTTGTTCAACTTTATTTTGGGTTACTACACAGAAAGAGACAAATACTTTTTCAAGACTCAATCTTAAATCTGGAGAGCTTGCTAACCCTTGTGCCAAGTTCTCGAACTCGTCGAAGTTGTTCTTCCAGTCACTTCTACCCGAGTGTCCTGATCCTTCTAAATCTATTTCCTGGATTTGACAATTCTTCAGAGCCTTTGACAAATCAGGAACACTAGGGATAGATAGCCTGCAATATTTCAATCCCAAAGTACTCACATGCCTGAAAGCTGCCACGAGCCTCTTCAGTTGGAGCAGGCCAATGCTGAAATAGTCAAAGTTAACTTGTCGAACGACTCTGGAGCTAAGTCTGGTCAGGGAGTTTAAGTAATTGGACCTTTTCAGATCCATTTGGCCACTGGACCCAAAATAGAGATTCTTAATTTTATTTGGGAATGAAGATTGTAAGAAACTTAAAACACAACGCCTATTTTTAGAAGCAATCTCATTCAAACGAAGCAAATCTATATCAAAAAGCTTAAGAAGCTTCAAACTTTTCAAAAGTTTTCCAGCTCTGACTTCGTCCAACCAAATGTTAAGTTGACTGGTTTTTGAAACTTCTTCGGAGTCTGGATCCAATGGTTCAAATTCTTGATCTGGAAGAACCTTATAGAGGATGCTCTGGCATGTGGTGACCTCTTGCTTCTTGGCTTTTGCCAGGAAGGACTTCTCTAGGCTGTATAATTAGAGGTGGATGGGGAGGTAGATCAGTGTCAGAATCCATCAGAAAGTTGGAGACGAAAGGGTGCTAATTTAGATTTTGAGAAATCCCAGGTTTAAGTTTTTAGGAGAAATGTTATCTGTGAAGGTGCCAAATAAATCTAAGAGAGGCAAGGCTTATAAACTCTCTCTAGTTTTGCTATGAACTTCTCGGCAAAGAAATTTTCTGTGAAATTATTATAAAAGTTGGCAAATTTTGGTTAAACTTTAAAATTTTGGGACTTGTCACAAATTTAAGAGAGAAAATCCAGAGTTCTCAAAACTAAATCTACAGTTACCTGATTATCTGAATAATTTCTTCTTTCATAGCTTCAGTAAGACTTTCCATTTTATTATTATAAAACTTAATTTTAAATTTATTTTTCAATATATCTGCAGAGGAGTGGGGTTTTGGGGTTTTGGGGTTTTGGGG